GCAATGATTGACTGATTCTCCTGTTAGATATGTTTTCTCCACTTGCATTTCCGACTGGAATGATAATATATGACCTTACTTTTTCCGTCCCTCCCATATCACATCTAGAGTTGTTCCCATTCGAGATCTTCCGAGAACCCTTGGTCGTCATTGCTATAGCGGATGGAGCCGAGCTGTCTGGAGAATATGAGGAGAGTGAGAGAGATTCAGCCACAAGGTCCGGCGATCGAATGCAACCCGGGCTAGACGAACTGTTGGACGGACTGCGCTTGGTCAAGGAGAAAAACACACGGGCTCTGGTTCACCAGCTTTTGATCTTCGATCGTGAGGGAGTGAGCAAGCTTTCGAGTGGCCCCGACGGTATCATGTGGATTCCGCGACCTGAAGCGTCTAAGGCGACCACGATAAAGACTGCCTTGTGCGATATCACGTCGATACTGCTTTCTGAGCTTGACGAGTTCGCGAAGACGATTCAAAGCATTCCCTTTATTGAATCTCCAAAGGCCTCATCTTGGGGGCCACATCGTGGCCCAGATCTGCGTGCAAGGCCTGCCGACAGGCTGATTCACCGGATGACCCTGCCTGCGCATCTCCCATCCCACCCCAGTGATTCACCAGAGACTTCTTTGGCTTCCAATAAAAGCTCGCCTGGTCCAAGCGAGCATGAGACACCTACGACCTTTGACGAAATTAACCGGTCTATCCAGTTGGCTAATCGCGCAAGTACCATTGGTAAACCCCACTCTCTGCCAGCCTCGAAAGAGCATAGCCGGGATCGAATGTCAGTGAGCGGAATGAGTGCTACTGATCGCACGAAAAACCGGATCAAAGGTCGTACTGGAGTCGTGATTGGGACGCTCTTTCTTGAGACGGGGAGATGGCCAGACGCTCTCAAAGAGTTGGTAGAAGCAGCGACAAATGCCAGGGCAAGCAGTGATTATGTTTGGCATGCCAAAGCTCTCGAGTCCATCCTTCTTTGTCTTCTCATGTTCGCATGGGCAGGCATGGATTTCCAGGTGCGTTCTATACCCTATTCTTCGTCTTTTTCACTGCACCCATCCCACTGATCCCTGTGCGTTAGATACCTCCGATCTGCTACCCGGTCGCCGACAAATCCTCTAAAGCAATCCAAAGCAGTGCTCTTGAAGTGGGACAGTCTACACCTGGGAACCGCATCATCTCCCTTCAAAATCTTGCTAACCTCTTACCCGACCTTGCGAACAATATCCTTCATCTCTACGAGCGTGCCTCCAACATCACAGATGAGCCGGTGCCCCAGCTTGTCTTTTCGGAGACAGTAATCCGGCTCTCAAGATTGCTGGTAGCCGCGCGAATACGCGATGGCGCTCTAGACGACAATGCTTTGAAGCACATCGTAATGAACGAGCCTTTGCTGCCACTGCATCGGCCAGAACGTCCCCGTGGCTTGATCATCCTCCGCCAGTCAGAAATTGCGAATTTCCTGTTTCGTGCTTTACCACTCTCCCCTAGCTCAGATCTGCCTGCAACAGATACTATACCGATTGTCGTTGGAGTAGTGTCTGTACTGAATGCGCTTGATCTACCGCGAAAGAAAGCATTCATTTTGCGGGAATTCCTTTCAGTAATAGTTCCAACTCTCGTTCAGGCCCGCAAAATTGGTGCTGCAGAAGTTGGGATTCACCCCGCCGCTGGGTTGGCGTCGCTCAGTGATACAGCATTTGATATCAACGCTCTTGATGTCGGACCAGGTAATATGGAAAGTAGTATGCGTGCCCTTTTGGGCCTCATAGGGGAAATATATGGGGTCCAACCATCTCCATTCTATGAGTGGGAGAAGAAACGTTCCTCGACTGCGAGTGGCACGGAACCAATTCCTGAGTATGACTCTATCGCCGCCATTGTTGACCGATCATTTCGCCATGTGGCTCTGGACAGATATGGCGACCTGAATTTGAAAATAGACGCTCTCAAAGCGTGCATCAACTGCTGTGAGGCCCTTCCTGATTTTACTGGTGTTCTCCGGTTCACAGTTGAACTGCTTCAAACCATTCGGGGAGACCTGATGCTTGCTGAAACTTATTATCAGCCTCCGTTTCTGCCGCAAGAAGAGCAGGTTCGCCTATTGAACAATATTAAGCGAACGGTCGGCGCTGCTCATAAGCTTGGCGCTTCAGATCTAGAGGCCGAGTACTGGGATGACTTCCTCGTGCGTGACGTACGGCTCCTTGCTCTACCAGACCCTAAGAGACCTGTTCGACGTTCCAAGTCACATCTTGACGTGGTCACGGTCAACGGCGACAAACCCTCAAAAGATCCATTCTTATATAACCCGTTTTCTAAAACAAGCAGTAAAATCTCCGAGTCGCTCATGATCGCTGGTGAGCATGCAGCATTCACAGTTACTCTTCAAAACCCCTATGAGTTTGAAATCGAGATTGAACGGATTCGTCTCCATGGTGAAGGTGTGCCATTAGATGCTGTTGCAGAATGGATAATACTTCCACCACTTTGTCTACAAGAAGTGACGGTTATCGGAAGTGCCCCTACAGAAGGGACTGTTAACGTCACCGGCTGTATTGTCAAAGTTCGATATTGCAGGGAACGCAAATTCCCGATATTCAAGGAATTGTGGAAACCAGAGATTGAAAGGAAGTTCAAGCGAACAGGTCTCGCAGCTAAAAGGCCTTTGACAGATCGGCCCCTGTCCTGGAGCTCAACGACTTCGAAAGATGGAAAACAGCAGCCGAAGAAAGGCCCCGAGACAAGTTCTTGTGAAGTCAAAGTCATTGGCCAACAACCGTCCCTTGTGATTGAATCGATGTCATTGTCGCAGTCAGCGATGATGGTGCTGGAAGGAGAAACCCAATCCTTCAACCTCACGCTGCGTAACACGTCGAGTTGCCCCCTTGACTTCATAACTTTCACGTTTCATGATTCCACTACGAGACAGATTCAATCCGCGCTGACAAATAAGGACCTGCTGCCGGTAGAAGTGTACGAGTTGGAACTGCAATTATCTATGAAACCAAGCTTGCGATGGCGCCGACAGGGTTCTGCCCCGGACGACCTTGTCATTGATGCGGGACAAAGTGCGACGTTTTCTCTCGACATCGTTGGCAAACCGGGCTTGCAAGATACGACTGTGCAGATTGATTATTCCTATATTGGGCTTTCCAACGGCCAATTACCGGAGGTGTTCTACACGCGGCAGTTGTTCATACCGCTTACCGTGACGGTGAATGCTAGCATTGAAGTGGCCCGTTGCGACATCCTACCTTTTACCAGTGACTTTGCATGGTGGAACAGCCAGGGATTGGAGCTGGACTCTGTCCGGAACAACACCACGGACAGCGACCCATTTGCCCCCGTGCTGTCTCAACTGGGGCGAGGAGCATACGGGCACGACCACTGCATCTTGCTACTTGATTTGCGAAACGCCTGGCCCAATCCTTTGTCGGTCTCTTTACAAGTGAGCGAGCAGCCAATGGAAGAGGGTTCTGCGGAGGAACTCACTCCCAAGGTTGGACAGTACAGCGTCTCGGGAGACCTTCAGCCGGGTCAGATCTCGCGCTTTGTTCTTGTCCTCCCTCGTGTCTACGTGGACAATCCACATGCTTCAATACCGGTTCTGAACACTGGAATCAAGAGGCAGTTCGTAGTGAGTGCAAACAAGCTCACCTTCGAGGCAGAAGCAGCGTCACGGGAGGCTTTCTGGTTCCGGGAGGAACTCCTCAAGAGGATCTCTGGCGTCTGGAAAGAGAGCACGACGACTTCTGGCCACAAGGGAGACATTGAGCTAAGAGGCATACGAATGAACGCGCGGATGGTGGACGCCTTTCGACTCGAAGCCATGGATGTCGGCTTTTCCCTGAGCCCCTCCTTTCCGAAACAGAAGGCATCTACCGCGGGAAGCATTGATGAAGTGGTGCAGATTGGACGCTCAAAGTATAAGGTGCAGACCGACGAGATGCTCGATCTCACCGTTACCGTCCGGAACCGCTCCTCGAAGCCAATCCATCCAATTCTCCGGCTCCAACCCAGTCTTCGCCACCAACCTAGTAACGTTGCCCTTGATCTTTCGCGGAGGCTGGCCTGGACCGGCATGCTGCAGCAAGTGCTGTCTATTTTGCCCAGTGGAGAAAGCACTAGTGTCACCATTGGAGTTACCATCTTCTGCCACGGAGAGTATGAAGTTGGTGCGAGTATTGAAGAAGTGCAAACCCTGAGATCGACGCCTGGATTCGAAAAGGATCAGAAGTCAGCGAACGATGCACCCGCACTACACGATGATGAGGTCATCAGAGACTCATTTGGATTAGACGTTACTCGAAGAAGACGGATCTGGCATGCCAGAGAGACATGTATCATGCATGCTTGTGATTAACTGTGTGATCCTCCTCTCAATGTACAGATTGCGGCCCTGGGACGACCTGGTTTGACGACAGCCATGAACACGTGTATGATTACTCCTCAACTTCACAATTTTGAATTGTATGATTGAAAAGTCGCGCCAGCCGCTTGAGCGTTCTCGCTGAGGTTTACCATGGATTGGCCTCTGACCTGAATATATGATCTTGTGGTTGCTTCTTTATTGCATGGGGGCCATTAAAACCTATGCTATGAATAGTGCATATGTTATTTTGTTCTATAAACATCGAGTCCACATTGTACATGCGGCACTCTAGAAATGAACATATATATAGATATCATGTATTCCATGTCTCCCGCCCGCGTTACAATGGACGGAATGCAACATGCATATGTATATGCATATGTATATATGAGGACCCCAGATATTCTCAAGCGATTAAGTGCTTGGCAGAGACCGATGAGCCCGTCAGGCGAGGAGGGGAACTGAAAAGCCTTGATATGGCTAGAAGAACTCACAGTCGCTGAATCAGACTCCCCATGATGGAGTCGGATCAGTGTCCTGCCTTATGCTTGCCTAAGGCGCAGCGGAAGAATCCACGTTCCACATGAAATATGCGATAGCCGCAAAGGACAGAAGCCAAGCTCGGTCAGGTGGCCGTTTCTCGATCCTGTTTTTCCCCGCTCTCCGTTGATGGCTTGTCTTTCCCAGTAGAGGAGCCCGGTTGATCGCCCACTGGGAAGCTGAGATACTTCCAGTCTTCGATCTCCTCGATGATGCACTTGAGTCTGTCGCGGATACTCTCGACCGCGTAGGTTCCCAGGATCAATCTCAGCGGAGGATAGGAGCAATGGCCCAGCTGCCAAACTAGATGGGCCGCCTTGACCGCACTGGCAGGCTGCTTATCGCCCAGCCACATCAGCATGCGCTTTGCATGCGCCGCGGGCGCCGTGGGCGTACTATACGGCACGCTGGGCTGCTTGACAAAGAAATGGCCGTACAGCGGCAGCGGCGACGCGAGGTTGTGCTCGTTATTAGCCATAGCAGCGGTGTGCGAGACAAGGTCCCCCACGTCGTCGCGCCGCATATGGCCCGGCTCCACGAGCGTGCCCTTGATATTGAAACTGTCCACCTCGTAGAGCATGCTCTCCATCAGCCCCTCCACCGCGTACTTCGACGCACAGTACGGCCCCAACCCCGGCACGCCCAGCGCGCCCGACGTCGAGCTGAAGATCAGATACCGGCCGGACCGGCGCTCGCGGAAATGCGGCAGCGACAGCTGGATCATGTTCAGGGTGCCGGTGAAATTCGTCTCGAACTGGTCGCGGATCTCGTACTCGTCCTGGTCCTCGCAGGCGCCGATCACGCCGTACCCGGCGCAATTGGCGACAATGTCGATGCGCCCGAAGCGCTCGATGGTCCGGTCGATGACCTTCTTGACCGTTTCGCGCGCGCGAACGTCGCATAGCAGTCCGAGGCAGTTCTCGTGTTCCTCTTCCAGCTTCTTCATTGATTCGGGGCTGTTCTCGAATGTGCGCCCGACCGCTGCGACGAGGTCATTGCGGCATAGGGCGGTCTTGACGAGTGAACGGCCCATGTGGCCTGTGGCGCCGAAGATCTACCAGCCCAGCATATCTATTAGTCCCGTACAATGCAAATATAACAAAATAGTGGTATAGGGTCCATTTCTCGTACCAGCCATACGAGCTGCTTAGGCGGGTTCTGCGGCCCGGGGGGGTCGGTTGTAGAGGGGAGCTGGAGTTTCGGTTCTCGGGCGGCGGATGCAGAAGGCGACAAAGCATTAATCGGTTTGGGTGGTGATGAAGGGTGAATATCCATCGAGGAGTAATATTGTTGCTCCGGGATGTAGGAGCCAGGGGAGTGTGTCCACGACATGGCTGCTAGGTGCTGATTGCAGGGTGGGGGGCTAGTAGCGATGACGGAGGTCGATGGAATCTTCGCAGGGAAAATCTGGGGTTGACATATCTACACAGTCTACTCAGCCATAACGGCCAGCTTATTTCCGCGAGTAAAGGGATTTGACTGTTACTTATTCATGTTCTCCCGTTCTATTCATGAATTGTTAAATTAATGGCATCGTCAGGGATATAATAACTATTTACTTTGGCAGAGCAATGCCGCCATTAATCAACCGCCAGCGCCCAGTGACGAACTGTAAGACAGACAATGTGATCGGCATCTATCGTCCGATCTCTCTCCGAAGCCGTCCAGCGGCTGTGGAAGGGCCAGGCTCAGGCCACCCGCTTACAGCATCGTCAACTTCTTCCAAGAAGGAAGTACTGTTGTGGATGGTCGTGCCTCCCAATACCACACGCACTCCAGGTGAGCTGGCGTTGACTTGGGCCACCATCTTGGCCTCTTCGTAGGTTGCACCGCCGACCATAAAGATGATGACGTCCTGTGGCTTCTCCCGAGTGTGGCTACTGCCTTCGAGGAAGGGGTACTGTAACTCTTTCAATCTGCCTTTGATGAGATTCTGTAGTGTCACTTCAAGTCGCGGTGAGTGTTGTGTGTATACATTCTCGACACCTTTGAGTCCCTTGAAGCGGTCACGAGCCCCGGAGAATAACGAGGCTGATTCGAAAAGATCCGAGAAGCCACCCGCAACAGGGGGCGCCTGGAGAGAATGATGATAGGCAAGAAGCTTCGGTATGATATTGACCTTGTAGGAGGGAACATCCCCTGCTGTGACCAGGAGGTCAAGCAACACCGGAAGGGCATTGGAAGGCTGCTTTTCGTATCGGAGGGCAAATAGGGCTACCAAGCGGATCTTGTTCTCCGCCGGTACCGTGGGGAGCTGAATGATTCTCTGTAGTGTCTACAAAGCGATCCAATGAGTATTGACTGTGCCAAGTTTGAAAGTCTCACGTCGCGACATACCTTGAGGTCATTCGCGTGGTTATCATTGCAGGCCAAACTCTGCTCCAACTCACTGACGTCGAGCAGGTTATCTTCCCCAACTCGTCGGCTGAGCTCGCCGACCAGCGTGACATGCTTGCTCACATTACCGGAGAGTTTGCGAAACTCAGGGTAATCTTCCACGAAGCGCTTCATGTCGGCAATGGACTCGATGTTCATGGTGTTCTGAGTCTTTGTTTGATACTGCTCGACATACTCCTTGATGTTCTGACCTAGGTCCCCAAAATTCTGATACATGTTCTTCTTAAAGAACGGATCTTGATCCTGCGAAAGGACGATTTCCCGAAGCTCGGGCCGAATGTCAGGCACATCGCGCAGGACTACTCTTCCGTTGGTGACCCCCAGTAACTCGTGAACCATCGCCTGGTATGTCCACTGCGTCAACAAAGGCGTGATGGGGTCATCTCTCCGGTCTAGAATAAGCAGAATAGGGGGCGTGTCGGTCTTCCTGAAATTGAACAACTGCTCCTCCTGAGTCACCTGGTAGCGGACCTCTGTAGCTAATTTCTTAGCCAACAAGCTGTTCTTCTCGTAGCGGATCAGAGGGTTTTTCTTGAGAGCCAGCAACAGGGCAATCACGCCTTCCGTCGCTCGCTGCAAAGCGTCTGCATTCCACAGGTCCGGCGAGTGGCTCCACAATCGCTGGTTAGGAAACCCGAGGTTCAGGGAGCACAGGTCGGGGTTGATGACAAGGAAGTCGGCAAAGTGCTCCTGCACCACGCGCACCACTTCATGCCCATCTGCTTCCGCCAGTCGTTCCAAGGAAGACTTGCGAAGAATATTGCTCAGATAAATATGATACTCTCCGTACTTGGGTTCACGAAGCTCGTCGATGAGGAATTGGATGGAAGTCGGGGACGGGCGCACGAAGCACAGACAACGCAGATGTCGCATCTTTTCGCGGGCGGCATTGTCCAAGCGATCGATCAGGTATACTTCATGACTCAAAAGGGCTGATTGTGTGATAGCCGTCGATACAATGGGCATCTGTGCATTATAAGAGTCAGCCTCCAAAATTGAGCTATCACCGCACTCGGCAGTAGAACGCAGATCCCACTGTCTCACTGTCGAGAAGCAAGATCTTCATCTTGGTTGACGATGAAGATCCCGTAGCCGATGCTGTATCTCCCGTGGTGACCATCTTGGAGATGTATCCGGATACTGCAGCAACGACGTCCATGATTGTGGCGATGATGCAGCCCACGAGGGCGCGTTGGCTAGGTGGGGTGTTTTGAGCGTTTTGATGAAATGACGGATATAGGAACTTAGTAGATCAATTAAGGTAGGAAAGCAGATAGTTGAATCAATAATTAATAAAGTACCTCTGGTAGAGAAGTGAATTGTAGCAGTGGATAGAGAGTTGGATGCGTCATAAGACAGAGACAGACCACAAGGGGTTGAAGGAGTCAAGCCAAGCCATGTGAAGCTCTCCACTCGTGATGATTTCATGCCTTCTTTTCTGTCTATAAACTGATGAACTTATCCTTTCGCATCCATGTCGCCCTAGATCGGTCCTCCACCTAGTTACGGATCTTCTCCGTCCTTGTCTTTATTTTTCCCACCTTGTAAACTGCTTTTCATGAAGCGCACCTCCAATAATGTTACCTTACGTCGATACCAGTATGTGGAAAAGCTGCCCACCGCCAGATCCCAACAATTCCCATTGCACCCAAAATACCTCAGAAAAAGCAGATACTGATGACGACGACCATGTATAGTATTCGGCTATCCTGCAAGGCTCACAGGAGCTTCGGTGGATGAGCGTAAGTTGACTCCTAAGCTTCTTTCAACAGAGCTCTGTTGTTAATAAATTGTTTTTTCCCCCTTCGGAACTACAGTCAAGCTTATTGCATCATTCCTGCTCTCCTACCCTTTGGCCGGTCTGCTGAAGAGAATTCCCGACGCTCACCCTTGGAAGAAAAATGTCTTCATTATCGTCGTCTCCTTGTTCTATATGGTCGGTTTATTCGATCTGTGGGATGGTTTGCGTACTGTACTCTACAGCGCTGCTGGCACTTACGCCATCGCATACTACATAGACGGCTCGCTGATGCCATGGATCGGCTTTATCTTTTTGATGGGCCATATGTCCATCAGCCACATTTACCGGCAGATGATTGACGATCCCCAAGCGATTGATATCACCGGCGCACAGATGGTGCTCGTCATGAAACTTTCCTCCTTCTGCTGGAACATTCACGATGGCCGTTTACCGCAAGACAAGCTGTCGGACCCGCAAAAGTACGCTGCTATTGCACAATTCCCCAGCATCCTAGACTACGCGGGATATGTCTTGTTCTTTCCGTCCTTATTTGGGGGTCCGTCATTCGAATATGTGGACTATCGGCGGTGGCTTGATACGACGCTTTTCGAGGTGCCCCCAGGAACTGATCCGTCCAAAGTGCCTCCAACCCGGAAGAAGCGCAAGATTCCCCGCAGCGGTACGCCTGCCACCAAGAAGGCTTTGATGGGCCTGGGATGGATCTTTGTCTTCTTGCAATTGGGCTCTCTCTACAATAAGGAGACGGTGCTTGGAGAATCCTTCATGAGCTATTCTTTCCTTCGACGAGTTTGGAGTCTTCATATGCTCGGATTCACCACACGAACGAAATATTACGGTGTATGGTCTCTGACCGAAGGTGCCTGCATTCTATCTGGACTCGGATACAATGGCTTTGATCCTAAGACAGGCAAGGTCTTCTGGAACCGCTTGGAGAACATTGACCCCTGGAGCCTTGAGACGGCCCAAAACTCATATGGATACTTGGGGAGCTGGAACAAGAATACGAACCACTGGCTTCGCAACTATGTTTACCTGCGTGTCACACCCAAGGGAAAGAAGCCCGGTTTCCGAGCCAGCCTGGCCACCTTCACGACCAGCGCATTTTGGCACGGATTCTACCCTGGCTACTATCTGACATTTATCCTGGGGTCTTTTGTCCAAACAGGATCCAAGAGTAAGTATACAACTGGTGCTTTCCCCTCATTCTCAGGAGGTTTCCGCTCATCTCATTGCAGACTTTCGCCGTTATGTCCGTCCGTTCTTCTTGACTCCCGATGGCGCTAAGCCTCTGCCTACCAAACGCTACTATGATATTTTCAGTTGGCTTGTTACCCAGCTCACCATGACCTTCGTCGTGATGCCGTTCATCTTCCTTTCGTTCAGCTCGTCCATTCAGGTCTGGCGGAGCGTGTATTTCTACGGCATCGTTGGAAACATCCTATCCATCATTTTCTTCGCAAGCCCCGCAAAGGGATATCTCGTCCGATCCTTGAAGAAGCGCAACAAGCCCCACATCCCGCGTACTATCAGCATGGAAAGTATCAAGCAACCGACCCTGGGTCTGCCGAATGACCCGGCTCGGGAATTCGATGATGCCGTTCAGGAAATCAAGGCTGAGCTTGAGGCGCGAAGAAGACGCGGCAGTGTGGTTAGGATGCCAACCGGCGAGGAACTGACGGCCGCCGTGGAAGACAAGCTTGGCCGGAAGATCTCGTGATAACTCCTCGCTATCGTTAGCAGTATGCGGCACGGCGGCGGGAGCTCTCGACTCAAGATCCCTGGCTCGATGTCATCCTGCCGCGAATCACCGTTCGGTTTAAGTCGTCTTGGACGACGAAACGATTAGACTCACTTGTGGATATTGGTTTACTAGACTTACTTTTGTTAGCTCAGCAGCACCCTTTTTGCTTGTTGCCGGGCGTTCAATTTGTGTTTCCTCACGTCCTGGTTATACTATAATGGGGTCCTATTCTTATGAGCAGTGTGAGAGAGGATGATATTGTATAGCCTGCCGGAGTTAATAATAATTATAGCGCTGATTTCAAACTCTTAGCACTATGCGTTGCAAGCCAGATCATGTTTCTACAGATTTGATCCTCATCCTACAGGTACCCGAGCCGAAGTTCGTCTGAAGTGTTTCCATTGGTCACGATCCTAAAAGATAAATCTAGGTCAGGCTCCAGGATGCAACGCTATGTACATGAGTGCAGTACATGAATCTCGAAAATACAAGATGCAATAATATATAGGTCCAAAGAAATGGCATATATCCGTAACCGGTTCGTAAATCCTAATTATTCCATCGCCTGGTGCGCCAAAACCCTCGCCCACTGATTCGCAGTGGGCGCATTGAAACACACCGTTAACCGAGCGGCAAATTAGGCAGGATCAGAAAGAAAAGTGAAATGCAAGAAGTCTAAACAAAACATTATATGCATCGTGACGTGTCGTACAGTCGTATCAAGTTGAGTTTTTCGGTTTCGGATGAAGGCGAACCAAGCAACCAGTACCGGCAGCAGGAGATGAAGGGGGTCAAAAGGGTGTGGCGGAATGGAGAGAATCAACTCCTGAGTACCGAATATGAAATGGTCATCGATCCAATCGACAAGGTGCAGGATATCAGGCGTAGCCTGGGGAAATGATAGGTCGACCGCCAGGGTGAGGGGATACAGGACAGGTCGAATTTGAAGCGCATCTAGAAGTTGCAGTTTAGAAGCCCACTGTACTGCCGACGACAGCCAGCGTTATCTGGAGAGCTAGTTAGTCGCGGTTCGGAAAGAAATATCCTGCTTCGTAGACTTACAACAATGGCGATAATCACCAACCCTAAAGGGGTCATCCATCGATTGAGATTCCTCCACCATCGAGCATTCTCGTAACGCCTTCGGCCAAGCTCATGAAGTCGCATCTTGAGGGCCATCTCCAGTTCGGGTCCGTTCTCGTCCAGCACTGCATCTGGCTTCTCCGGCAATGGGAGGAATGCGGCGATGAACCAGGCTAAAGCGTGGCGTTTGTGAGCATTTTGCACGATGGAGGTTCGGGGCAACAAGTGAACTTACCAAGTGGAAAAACGAACCCCAGGCAAAAGGACCATACTTGCATGTTCCTTCGTCCCAGTAAGGGCTCTGTCCGAGAATCCATCGAAGGCGCGGTCCATGTCTTGCCTTTTTGCCCAACAGCCCGCTTGTCGGGATACAAGTGCGGCGACCAACTGTGTCGTAGGCGGTTTTTAGCGGTGTCTGATAGCTCGTCGGTCTCTGGGCCTTTGACCCAATGGCTTCGAGGATCGCGGGGATCAGGCGGGGCCATCCAACGCACGCTCCCCATTGTTTCATTGGTTGGAGCTCTCGATCGGCCTGAAGCTGTTGGAATATACCGTAGAGCTTGTGAGTTGGACGTGGCAGGGCGGGCAGTGGGCGGGCGGCTCCCATCAATCACCGACAGCGCAGAGTTCACGGTCTGTCCATCCAGACCATAGTACATCTTGGCCCACGTTGGGAGCATGTTGTAGACAAAGCTTGAACTAGTCCCCGGTCGCTTATTACTGTTGCTGCGCAAGCTACTTTTCCTCGACTCCGAAGAAAGACTGCTTGGAACAGCTGGATTGGTGGGACGAGCTGGTAGACTTGACAGATGGTCCAGACGCTCATCTCTATCTGAATCGCTTACCAACCACAACGAGGACGACCCCGGTCTCTGGCGGATGAGTGCAGCCGAGGGTCTGGAGGGCTCTGCAGCCGAAACTTCGCTAGGCTCATCGGCCCCAGAAGCAAAGCTGGAGTCCAGCTCGGCGGACCACCTAGACGTGACGGTTGACAAATGGGACTTGAAGCGGTCAGATGATTGGTCAGGGGTGAGTTCTTGGAGATTGCGATCGGACGAGCTGGTAGATTGTGAAGTATCCACCCACGAGCCTGATGATGAGGGAGCCAGGATTGTGGGATATTGGATAAACACGCCACTATCCACATTAGGCTGGATGACCGAGGGTGGCCCGCTCCGAGACGATGAAGTAAGGGAGCGAGAATGGCTGCGACCGCGAGCGCGGGTGGAGTTGGAGTTTGATCGCACTGATGGATGGTAAGGAGGAGTAGAACGGAACGATTGTGAACGAGAACTGTGCTCCTCAGAAGATCCGTGAGTCCACGGAGCGGCGCCAATATGTCTGATCACAGTCCCCATAGAGTTCAAGGATGTCAGCGAGTTAGAACGTGTGGCGGAATCCCGGTTTGAGGAAGCGCCAATCCGGACAAAGTTCAAGCTGGAGTTGTCGAGGGCAACAAAGCTGGGACTTGACGGTGGTCCAATGGTCACAACGTTGGGGCTCGATCCGCTCGAGGACGCATGTTGAGCACCTGACGGTTGGCGAGACGGTCCGGGAGTTTCTGACACGACGG